CCTAGCAGCCTTCTTCCCAGACCAATGGCAAGAACTGAGTCATGTGCCTACTTCTGAACTATGTACAGAACGGAAAGCGCTACCATCAATGATCAATCCTGATTCATCCCCTTTTTTTTTTTTTTTTCCCAAAAGTAAAGGGAAACTGCAGGGTATGCAAGCAACATTGTGACTGGTCTTCTATATTCAAAAAATTACACTAGAGCTATTTTCCTCAGGACCTTCAAGCTCTTAAGATTCTTCAGGGTTTTTCTTTTTTTTTTTTTTCCTCCCCTATATTTTAATCATTAAGCCTTTCCTTCACGGATGTTTTTTTTTCTGCTGAAAATTGCCTATTGAAAAATTTCTGTTCTTGGGAGTTCCCTAGTGGCACAGTGGTTAAGAATCCACCTGCCAATGCAGGGGACACGGGTTCAAGCCCTGGTCCAGGAAGATCCCACATGCCACAGAGCAATTAAGCCCATGCGCCACAACTACTGAGCCTGCACTCTAGAGCCCATGAGCCACAACTACTGAGCCCATGTGCTGCAACTACTGAAGTCCATGCTCCTAGAGCCCATGCTCAGCAACAAGAGAAGCCACCACCATGAGAAGCCCGCGCACCAGAATGAAGTGTAGCCCCCACTCGCCACAACTAGAGAAAGCCCATACACAGCAACAAAGACCCAATGCAGCCAAAAATAAATTAATTTTTTTAAAAAAGAAAAATTTCTTTTCTCTATCAAAAGGTTTTTTTCATTGATTTGTTTACATACTCAATTTCTGCATTCTAATTCTTTTTCTTTTCTAAAGTGCTGAGACATATCACATTTTCAAAAGAGTCACACATTTATTTTGCCCCTTCCTTTCCACTCTTCATATATACTTCTGTTTGCCAACTGTATTAGGAGCCTGAGAGGCCAAGAAAATGTTTTCTGCTCTCTTTATAATTACCAGTAGCATTTCATAGGTGCTAAATGTATTTGACTTGTTCTTCCCCTTTATGGTTAATCAGAGATATGTAGGCTTTTATAGGAAGCAAAAGGAATCAGGGTCTTATAGCCAAGAAAAGCACTGGTCATATTACAAATGCCCTCTACTAACTTGTTTACATTAAATTCTTTGCATACTTGCTTCTTGCTATTGTCAGAAAGTCCCAGAATACAGTGTATTTCCCACTTCATCCCACCTTTTCCAACATCTTTCACTGAAGCAAAGAAAGGAGCTGAGTTTCCATGGTAACACAAGTGTGACAGTTGAGGATATATGGGCATAGGTGAGATAATTCTCAGATACAGAGGGGAGAGAAGAAATGAAGTTTTTCTCTCTTTTTTTTTTTTTTCTCCCAGCAATGTACTTCTGAAGCTAAAGAGACCCTGAAGTGTCAGTGTACACTGTTAAGCTTTCACTATCATACAGATTTATAGCTCTTGGGGAAAATTCAATTTTATTTTATCTCATTTTTATTTTGTCTTTCCCACAAACAAATGAATGGAGACATTTTATTTCTAAAATCACTCTCAGAATAGACAGTTCATGCTAGCATGGCAATGAACACAATTAAGAGATCAGGAGATACACACCTAATTCCCACCCAAATCTTCAAAATTCTCTGCACATCCCAACATCCTTTCTTTTAGCAGCTAATTCTTCTCTTTCACATAGAGCCTCAAATCAGGTCACTACCAAGACAGAATAGGTAGGAAAATATGCTCCTACTTAACATGTTTTTTTTGAGTCTTATTGATTAAAAATCTACCTTTATGGCAGCACTGAGAATGAAAATGGAGGCCTGTCATTAGGAGAAATATAAATGAGCTACACTACTCCAAGAGCTGCAGTCTCTACACTTCTCCTTATCAAGAAAGTTGGCACTGATGAAAGGTCAGGGAAAATAAACTGAGAAATGTCTTAAAAAACCTCTCCTCTCTCTATCATGCTAAGTGGAGTAACTGGGCACCGACTCACTATTTTTTTGTGACAGCTTCTATCAGATGCACTCCAGTCCAGAGCTTCTCAACTTTTGAAATGAAAGCAGTTGTTTAAAGATACATTCTGGACCCACAATCCCAATGCAAATTTCTTAAAAAAAAAAAAAAAATGTCACTGGGCCTTTACTTCTTGCAAAGTGAATGGTTTTTCAGTTCCACTGTAATACAAGGTACTACACAGGTTGTAATGATCCATACAAAGAGAGGAAGTTTGATGCTTCTTGGCTCTATTCAACCCCTAACAAATCTAGGGATTTCTTATGACTACAATACAAAAGTTGGATCTTAAAAGAGACAGTATGTCTTTTCCATGAAAGTGTAGCTGTTACTAAAGAAACCACAAAAAGCATGTAAGTTTTACACAGTATATGAGACTTCTAAAATGCTAGTTCAACACTGTATTCACCAACAAAATCCTCTTGAAACATGCCTGCCAAAAAAGCTCAGATATGAAGCTTCACTTCAAATCCATGTGAGCTCTTAATTTTAATTCACTTATTCACATTACTAGTTTAAAATGAGGTATCAGATGCTCTTTGGTTTCAATTCTCCTAAAACTTTCCTCTTGATTCTTAGTTCTTTTGCAATCTGCCTTCACTGTTGATTCTGGTGGCTCAAATATAACACTCATATTTTGATAAGTAATCAAGAAATAATGATTGAGTTATATTTTACCACATATTTTGACAGGACACTTGCCCACAATTATTTTAAGCAAAAACTTGGTGTGTTACACTATAGCGAGATAATGCAAGCGTAAGTTATTCATTTTAAGATAATGGAGCGATAGGGCTGTAGGACACTGCTAAAGCTGAGTACATCTTTGTAGTAGTTTGATAATTGACCAAAAAAACGATGATAAAAGAACATCTGTTTTACTGATGAACTCAGACCAAAAGTCTCTCTACATGATGACCTTGTGCGGAAGAGGAAGGCTGAAGAGGTATGCCATGATCAAACATCAGTTAGAACTACAGAAACTTATTATTCCCAAGAAATGTGAGATGGTAATGGATGGGTGTAGACTAATTCGAGAAGGACATACTTTATGGAAGGTAAATCCAATTACCAGTTATTGCAAAATATAATCCAGGAATATTTAGGGACATAACTTCTCCTAAATTTGACGTTATGGGTGGAAGAGAGTGTGAAATTAAGATCTAATGCCACAGAGAGAACAGTAAGTTTCAAAACTGAGTTGTTAAAAACGTTTTAGGAGGCACGCATGGAGGACCCATGCAACTGCTGCTGTATGTCTAAGGACCCGACATTTTCTCACCCTAAAGAGTCCCTGTTTTGTCAGTTCACCCCACTTTTCAGCCCACATCCCTCAGCACTATTTCCGTGTCTATCATTTAGGCAGAATGCCACGGAGACGACGTTAAAAGTGAAATCCATCACTCTCGCCCGCAACACATCGTGTTTCTTTGCCCGAATAGGGTGCCGCGACCCACCCCTCAATCACTGACCCCTCCCAGACCCCACCAGCCCTGCCCCTTCTCCATACTACCGGCCCTTGGTGGCAAGGAAACCGCGAATTCTGGTTGGCTCAGCGCAAGTCTCCGTCTTTCTTCAGCTCACCTGTGATTGGTTGGCAGAGTGTGCGCCAGGGCAAACGCCCAGCCTGGCCAACAGTGGCAGATGGGATGGCTGAGCCTGCGACTAGAGTTTTCCTCCATTGGCTGATGGGTCAGTGTCACGTGGCATGAAGCGGCTCTCTATTGGTCGAGAATGATACCACGGGGTCGAAAATCGCGGGCTGGTTGGCTGAAATGAATCCCAGCTTCCTACTAGAGGCCCCGGCTGGCTGTTGCTATGAGGTGTTCCCGGGCCTTCTGGCTGCTGCTGGGGGATCCGCTCTCCCGGTTTTCCAGGCGCCCGTAGCTGACAGGGCGTGGGAAGAGCTCGACTTTTATCAGGCACTGAAGAAGGGCGGGGCTGGGGAAGGTGGGAGGGACCCCCGGCGACGTCACAGAGCGTGGGCCCGGCTTCCGTGGTTTCTGGCCTTCGCCGCCTCGGGCAGTGGGCTGGTTGGGGGTCTGTCACTTCTCCCTCAGTGTCCTGACGCTTAAAACAAAGCTGCATTTCGTTGTATTTATGCTCCTCCCTTAAAGCTTCTTATGTTTATACAAGATAAAACCAAAGCTCTCAGGAATGCTGACAGACTGGGTGGTGCCCAGCAAGGCCCTCATGCGAAGGCCTCCTTCTGGACTTTGCCAGTATCTTCTTCTCCCCGCCTCATGTTAAAGCTCGGAGATCGCTCTGGCACCTCCAACATCTTGTCTCCGCCAAATTCTGAACGTGGCGTTCTCAGGTAGAAGCGGCTCCCGTCGCAGGAGGAAGGACTGCGCATGCTCAGTACGCAGACCCCCGGGGTTCAACGGGGCAGACGGGGTGGGGTGTTGTTGGGTAACCCAGGTGGCTGTTTATCTAAACGCGGGCGGAGGCTGCCGCGCCGCGCCGAGCTTCCGGGGAGCGCGCGCGCGGCCGGTCGCCTAGGCGACGGGGGGAGCAGGGGCGGGGCTGCGCCGCCGGGCTCCGCCCCGGGCCGCCGGGCCCCGCCCCCAGCAGCGCTGCGGCTCGGGCTCGGGCGCGCGCTTCGGCGCCGGGAAAAGCGGCGGCGGCGGCGGGCGGGGAGCTGGGCGTGGAGGCGCGAGGGGCGGGGG